TGGAGTTGTCACAGTTGCTCTTTGCTTGAGACACTGTGCTCTTGGGAGTTCTGATGAGAAGTTGCAGAGAATGGTTGCTGACTTTGGTAGGGTGTGCAAAAGAAGAAAATTAAAGGTGAATACAGTAAAGATAAAGGTAAGAGGATAACAAAAAGATTAAGGTGATGAAAGATTGGATACCAGATAGGAGGAATAGAGATGGAGGAGTGAAATTATTCAGGATATTTGGGAGTAGGACGTGTCAAGCGGATGGGTCTATGAGAAGATGAGGTGAATCATAGAAATGATGAGGGAAAAGGTTGAGTGCGGTGCACTTAGGAGTCCTGGGAACAAAGGAACTTTGTCTCTTGGAAGCAAAGAGGGGAAATGTATGAGAGTATAGTATTTTAAACCACACTCTTAGATGGGTGTGAAGCAATGGTGATGAATGTTGCAGCGAGGAGAAGGCTGGAGGCAGTGGAGATGTCATGTCTGAGGGCAATGTTTGGTGTGAAAATAATGCAAGAATTCGTAGTTTGGAAGTGTTAGAGGAGGTGCAGGATTTACCAAGACAGTTGTCAGGAGGGCTGAGGAAGAGTTTGTTTGAGGTGTATCGGACATGAAGAGAAAAGGAGCGCAACGAATGACCTTCAAAGGAGATGTCACAGTGCTGTAGTGGTAATGAAGGCGTGGTAGGGGACGGCCTAGGAAAGGTTGGAGGGTAGAGGTAAAGGAGGTTTTTGTGCGATGGGCTGGACTTCCAGCAGGCATTGCGTGAGCGTGATTGATAGGAGTCAGAATTAGCACAAATGGTTTTTAATACTTGTCTTTGTCTGTTTGGAGTGGACAAAGTAACATTTATGAAGGTCTTCAGGGAAACCGCGGGGGCCGGGACTTGAGTCCCTGGAGATGAAGTACAGTGCCTGCACTTCAGAAGAGGGGGTAGTTAATGTTCAGTTTTAAAAAACATAGTAGTGTAACGCACCCTTTCTTTCTGGCAAAACAGTGATGGAGTGAATGATGGTGAAAGTTTATTCTTAATTCGGGCCACCCTGCCTTGGTGGAAATTCGCCAGTGAGATAATAAAAATAAAAAAATGAGAAAATAGAGTACAAAATTTTCTAGCAACATCAACAGGAAGAACATAAGACCATCATAGTAAACCAAAAAAAAATAAGTCACAAAGATACTAGAAAAGTTTTTCCTCACAAGGTGGTAGAATACTGGAACTGGATCAGAGGTGGTATGTGCTACACCTAGTGTAGAAAGAGATTTGGTATAAGTAAACATATTTTATGAAAAAGAGAATAAATAAATATACAAGGTATGATGTAGCACGTAATGAAAGTAGTTTGTTAGATTATGTATTGGTGGATAAAAGGTTAATGGGTAGGCTCCAGGATGTACACGTTTATAGAGGGGCAACTGATATATCGGATCATTATTTAGTTGTAGCTACAGTTAGAGTAAGAGGTAGATGGGACAAGAGGAAGGTGGCAACAAAAGTAGGAGGTGAAGCAAAAGTGTATAAACAAGGGAGGAGGAAGTTTGGGGTGAGATATAACACTATTAGTGCAGAAGGAGGGCTAGTGGCAAAGATAGTATTGGGAGGTTGAAGAGGTTGGATGAGGTTTTAAAAATGCAGTATTAGAATGTGGGGCAGAAGTTTGTGTTATAGGGGTGGGTGCAGGAGAAGAGGAGTGATTGATGGAATGATGAAAGAAAGGGTGGTGATAAAAGAAGAAAAAGTTATCTTAAAAAGGTTACCAAAGCAAAGTGTTATAAGAAAAGCAGAGTAATGGAGAGTACAAGAAAGGTGAAGAGAGTGGTAGAGAATGCAAAAGGATAGCAGATGATAGAATGGAGAGAGGCACTGTCAAAAATTTAATGAAAATAAAATAATTTTTGAGTTAAACAAGTTAAGAAAAGCCTAGGGAACTAATGGATTTCAGTTACAAAACAGAGTAGGGAGTTAGTAATGGGGAAGAGGAGGTATTAGGTAGATGGCGAGAATAATTTGAGGAACTTTTAAATGTTAGGAAGAAAGGGAGGCGGTAATTTCATGCCTGGGCCCTGGGGATGTATAACATCTTTTATAGAATTAATAATGAGCAGAAGTACGTGGGTGGGAGTACGTGAGCATTAGAAGAATGAAAACTGGGTAAAGCCGCTGGAACTATGATCATGACAGGAAAAATTTTAAAAGCAGGGGATGATATAGTGTTGGATTGGTTGGCATTTTTATTTAATAAATGTAGAAAGACGAGAAGGTACCAAGGAATTGGCAGAGAGCACTGTATAAGTCCCTTTTATATAAAGGAAAGGGGGACAAGAAGATTGTAAAAATATAGAGGACTAAGTTTTACCGAGTATACCAGAAAAGTATACAGTAGGTTTCTTATTCGAAGAATAAGAGGTAAGACAGAATGTATTGATTGCAGATAGCAAGGAGGTTTCAGAGTGGGTAGGGGATTGTAGATCAAGTGTTTACATGAAGCAAATAGTGTAACAGTATTTAATAAAGGTAGGGAAGTTTTATATTGGGCATTTATGGATTTTAGAAAAGGCATATGATAGAGTGGGTATACTAGGAGTCATGTGGCAGAGTTTGCAAGTAAAAATATGAATAGGTGGTAAGTTACTAAATGCTGGTAAAGAGTTTTTATGAGATAGATGAGCTTGGGGGGGGGGGGGGGGGGGGGGGGGGGGGGGGGGGGTGGGGGAGTATAGGGTGGTAAAGAAGAGGGTGACGACTACTTCACCAGTAAAAGAAGTCTTAGACGGAGGATGTGTAATGACACCATGGTTTGTTTAATATATTTATAAATCGGTTTTAAAAGAAGTTAAATGCTAGAGTGTTCGGAAGAGGTGTAGGTATTAAATTATGGGACTCAAATGCCCAAAATGGAATTGACACAGTTTACTTTTGCTGATGATACTGTGCTTATGAAATTCAAAAGAAAAATGCAAGGTTAGTGACGAGTTTGGGATAGTGTGTAATGGTATAAAGTTGACAGTGTCACATATAAAAGAATAAGGTTATGAGGTTATTCAAATAATATAGATAAAGAAAAATGATATCCAAATTGGGGAGATGTCAGAAGTGAATGTTTTCAGATACTTGGAATTTTGACGTTCGGGCGGATGGATTTATGAAGGATGATGTTAATCATATAATGATGAGGGAAAAAGGTGCGTGGTGCATTGAGGTATATGTGGAGTCAAAAAAGCGTTAACTATGGAGAGGCAAAGAAGGGAATGGTGTGAAGTATAGTAGTACCAACACTCTTAGTATATGGATGTGAGCTTGGTGGTAAATGCAGTCAGCAGAGGAGACGGGTTGGAGGCAGAGTAAAATGACCTGTCTAAGGAGGCATGTGTGTGTAAATATTATCAGAAAATTCGAGTGTGGAAATTAGAGAAAGGTTTGGAGTATAAAAAGAGCATTGTCAGAGGGCAGAAGAGGGTTTTGAGGTGGTTTGGGTCAATAGAGAGAAGTGATCAAAGTAGAATGACATGGAGCATAAAAATACAAGATGGGGAAGGAAAGAGGGGTAGGGGTCGTCCTCCAAAGGGTTGGAAAGAGGGGTCAAGAGGTTTTGTGGGGAGGGGCTTGGACTTCCAGCAAGCGTGCAGAGCGTGTTAGATAGAAGTGAATGGGACGAATGATACTTGGGACCTGAACGATCTGTCTGGAGTTGTGAGCAGGGTAATATTTAGTGAAGGGATACAGGGAAACCGGTATTTTCATATAGTCGGAACATGAGTCCTGGAATGGGAAGTACAATGCCTGCACTTTAAAGTAGTGGTTTGGGATATTGCATTTGGAGGATATGTTGTGTATCTTTAAACTGATATGCGTCCTAAACTGGTTATTCTGGGCACCTCTGCAAAGCAGTATAATTGTGTGAGTGTGGTGAAAGTGTTGAATGATAATGAAAAGTATTTCTTTTTGGGATTTTTCTTTCTTTTTATTGGTCACCTTGCTCGGTGAGGGAGACGACCGACATGTAGAAAAAAAAAAAAAAAAATTTCAGGGAAACCGATATTTTTATATAGCCGGACTTGAGTCCTGGAAATGGGAAGTACAATGCCTGCACTCTAAAGGAGGGTTTGGGCTATTAGCATTTGGGAGGGATTTGTTTGTGTATCAGTTATAGGATATTCTTCTAAACTGTGTGTTTTCTGAGCACCTCTGCAAACAGTGATTATGTGTGAGTAAGGTGAAGGAGTTGAATATGATGAGAGATATTTCTTTTTGGGATTTTCTTTCTTTTTGGGTCACCCATGGGGGGGGGGGGGGGGGGGGGGGGGGGGGGGGGGGGGGGGGGGGGGGGGGGGGGGGGGGGGGGGGGGGGGGGGGGGGGGGGGGGGGGGGGGGGGGGGGGGGGGGGGGGGGGGGGGGGGGGGGGGGGGTGGGGGGGGGGGGGGGGGTGGGGGGGGGGGGGGGGGGGGGGGGGGGGGGGGGGGGGGGGGGGGGGGGGGGGGGGGGGGGGGGGGGGGGGGGGGGGGGGGGGGGGGGGGGGGGGGGTGGGGGTGCCTCGGTGGGAGAAGGCAGACTTGTTGAGAAGAAGACAAAAAAAAAAGCACTTAAGACAGTGGCCCATAACATTGGTTCTGCACCGTAACTAGCCGATAAGATGACTTAAGTAAATCGTAATAGACACGATTGCAAAAAACCACGGGCTGGAGTTTTGAGACTCTATGACCGCGGGTTCAATCCCGGCCGGGGGTATGGACTACAGATAAAATATTATTCAGTATAGTATACCCTCGATATAATGAATTAATAGGGGATGTCCATTATATCAGAATGCTAAAACAAATAGTAAAATTAAGTGCAATAAAGTACTCTACTGTATACCTAATATAGTACTGTACACACAGTTTATAGATATACTGCAATAAACTTCAAAAATTAAACTGTTAGGAGTATACTTTAACCAATGTATTCTGCCTATAATTTTAAATCTGTTATATTGAGGTTCATTATATTGAGGGTTTACTGTAGGTGTATTTACCTCAAAAAGTTCATTTTCTCTAAGCGCTCTACACTCAATGACCCTCCATTGTTAAATTCTCCAAAGGTCTTCTTCGTTCAGCTGTTCGGCAGCTATTAGGATAACTTAACAAGAGTTTCCACTTTTTCATGTAAATCGTAGTCTATCAGATCCTGAAGAAATATATAGTGCATATAATCATTGTGCCAGATTAAAATTCCAAGCTTGATTTGGCAACCTATATTGACAGCCATTTGAGCGCTGTTGTTTTGTTTGTAGTTGTTGTTTTCCACCCCCATTATTATTACCACTACCAATTGTTGTTATCGCCACAGCCACCCACTGCACCACACAGGTATAGCCAGAGGGATACTAGCCAACAATCCTTTATTGCAATTTATTTATTGATATTGTCTGTGCTGTCCCACAATATGTGACAAGAGGCTGGGGAGTGGCAGCATCCGACACTCGTGGAGAAGGGTTATGAGATGCTTCGCAACTACTCTCTCTTCCATCCCTCTCATCATGTAGAACATTACTATCACTGTTTGACATAAGGCTGTTTGCAATACTGATGTTTGCAACATGATTGTTTAGTGCACTACATGTACCATGACTGGTAGCTGACGTAAGGTTGGCTGCAGCTACACCATTGACAATACAAGCATGCGAGTTTACAGAAGTGTGATTATTAATGCTAGTGAGGCCACTGGGAATTGTGTCATGATGGGAGTCCAAGATGTTGGAGTCCCTCATGGATGACATCTCACTTGTAGAGTCTTCATCTAAAGTATCTGCAAAGGCAAAATAAAGTTAAATTTCTTCATGTCAACAATATTAAATATTATGAATAAATTTTAAATTATAGTCAGAGGGAAGCACTAAACTTGTAGGGGTCATGCAATGCCTTGTGACTCAAAATCATAGTAACACAATTGTAAACAAATCACAGAACAGTATGGTCCAATGAACAACACACTGACTTGTCAGTTTTAAAACTCACTTGCCATAAGTTCAAGTGCTACCTGTTCTGTGACAGAATTTTAATGCCTAGGTAACTGGAGGCAATCAGGTTTGATCCAAGGAAGTAGATGAAATCCAGTTCCTTGGATCAAGAGCCCCTCACCAGCATCAAGGAACCTTTCTTGAGGGAAAAAACAAAAAGGCTTTTCAAATTCTATTAAAATATATAAAACAATTAACCTTTTGACTGTCGCAAGCCCATTTCTGAAACTGTCTTCCTATGTCGGAAAATATTCGAAAAATAAAAAATTATTTTTTTCTTACCAAAATGTTAGGATTAATTTGCCAAGTGTTTCAACCCTAAAAAATTTTTTTTGCAATCAGTACTTACCGATATATAGAGAAGTAAAGTTGGCAGAAAATGAGCTGCATATGGCAACAGTGGCGAATGCCGCTCAACCAGTGTCTGGTGCCATACTCCTTCCTTGAGTGGAGGTGACCAGACTGGGTGGGTCATTGGGCTAATTTACTGGGGGGGTGGGTCATTGAGCTAATCTGGGGGACATAACAAGGACCTGCTACCAATGGGGGTCAGTAGGGGCCTGTAGAAGTGTTCTTCTTTCTTATGTTCTATGTTTTTGTTTTTTCACTACTTTATTTTTTCAGGTAACTTACATGACCTGTGAGACCAAAGTAAGGTGCAATGTGCATACAGGTCTTCCTCCCCATTCACAAGGGTTAGGGGATCAAGAACCTCGCAAATGTTGAAAAATCGTGAATGTCTGGTGCATAAATATACTGTAGGGAAATATAATAATAGCATTTACTTAGCCAAACAATACTGCTTCCTTAACCTATTGAGCCATGAACAATCATAAAACACATGAAAACATTGTAAAATATTGTAATAGTCTTTCTCACCTTCTTTAGTAAAGGTGAGAAAGACTACAGAATTCAAGAAAGAACTCATAGCAGAGTATCAAAGTGGAGGAGGAAGAGAGAGGGGAGAATGTGCCTTCTTCAGTCATTCTACGATACGTATGATACTAAAGCAGCACGAGTCGATAAAGGCTATAGCACCAGCCAGCGACAAAGTGTAGCATTAACAGTGTAGCAAGTCAGTTAAGTGATTAATCGATAGAAAAAGGACAGCACAAACCTAACTCCTCCAATGTTGTTGGAGTTATATAGGGCGACTGACAACACCGCCACCTCTACTGCCCCTGCTGCCACCTTCACCACCACTATGTAAGGCTTATGCTCTCAGTGGCCCTTATACATCCAACAACAACAACACAACACCACTCGTGACATACTTAATGACATATTTTATTCATTCTAGAGTATATGTCATGTTTCTACATTATTAGTATTGTTTATTATGTCATATTGGATGAATTGTGATAGATAAATAAGCCATGGAGTTGATATCAGTGCCATATTGAAGGACTATCTTGTCCTATCTCCAAACAAACACTGCCACCGCCACAATTATTAACATACGTAATGACATATTTTAAATATGGCTGGGCATCCGCGAATGTTTGAAGCCCACGAAAGAGGAACTAGTAAATGTAGGAGACCTGTATATACACTCGTCGTTTACAACACAATAAGCACACAAACATAATTATGAATATGTTTACAAAACTTGTTTACACAATACAAAAATTTTTATTACTATTGTTCTATAATGTATATATACAAATACAAGTGGTAACCCCCGCAGTCCTGATGGGCATACACGATAACGAGTAATTCCGCATATACCGCTTGCTTTAATCGCAAAAATTTTTGCCTCGCATACCCTTAAAACCCGCTCACCGATTTCGTCCGAACGCTCCAATTGCTTCACTGAGCCACAGCTCACATGATTCCGCGGTGGCATGATTACCAGCCAGCCTCCGCGGTAACATCCAAGCAATACAATCGGAACATTTCGTACTATTACATGTTTCGGTGGCTTTTTCTGGGAAAATAATTGACCATGGGCCCAAGAAAGCTTCTAGATGCCACGCTCCCTACAGCAATAAGGGTGAGAATTACAATAAGATGAAAAAACGATCATTGAAAGTAAAAAGTGGAGTCGTGTCTCCGGCTGGCCAGGTTTGTATAAAATAAACCCCCAATCAACCACGCTACATTGGTGTACAGCTGCTGCTGCTGCTGCACTGTCAGCTGCTGCTACTCTGTAGCATCGTGCTGCTGCCAGTAACATCGACTGTTCGCTGTAACCACCGTCAGCTGCTGCTGTAGCATCGTCTGCTGGCTGCTGTAACATCGTCGTTGCTGCTGTCAGCATCGTCTGTTGCTGCTGTACCAACCGTCCCATCTGCCTGCAGCTTGCTGTACATCATCTCCTTCCTGCTGCTTCGTAACATCGTCTGTTGCTGCAGTAGCTCATCGTCTGCTCCGTTGTAGCATCGTCAGTTGCTGCTGTTACCACAGTCAGCTGCTGCTGCTGCTACATGCGTCTGCTGCTGCTGTAGCATCGTCCTGCTGCTGTAGCATCGACTGCTGCTGCTGTACCACCGCAGCTGCTGCTGCTGCTGTACATCGTCTGCTGCGGCTGTAGCATCTGCTGCTTGCTGCTGTTAGATCGTCTGTATGCTGCTGTACCACCGGTCAGCTGCTGCTGCTGCTGTATGCATCGTCTCTGCAGCTGTAGCATCGTCCTGCTGCTGCTGGTAGCATCGTCTGTTGCTGCTGACATCCGTCAGTTGCTGCTGTACACCGGCAAGCTGCTGCTCTGACTGTAGCACCGTTGTGTGCGTGGCTTTATTGAGAATACCAAGAAACAAATAACCCCAAAGGATTTGCCACCAGATAACCCCAAAAAAGTCAGTGTCATCGAAGACTCTAACTTAGTTCCATTGGGGGTCCTAATCTTGTCTCCCAGGATGCAACCCAACACGAAAAGAGGTTTCGACTAACACCCAGGTAACAGTGAAAAATCCTGGAACAAGCCATATTTGTGAATTAAAGCAGCAATAGGGAGGTTTGAGAGATTTAAGATCGATGGCATACACAGTGTGATAAGGCCTTTCTGGAAAGAAAATGCCAAACAGTACCAAACAGTACTCGAGGAAAATGGCACTCCCAGGACACAGTGTCCTCATCAGTCATTGCTGCATCTCAATAAAGGTAAGTGTCATTATTCTTCATTTAGTAACTAGTACATGCACAATATATACTGTGCATGTACTACTCTACTATTGTCATGTATCCTTCTCTTTGTGTATAGGAAACTGTATAATTCATGTGGTAAAATTTTTTGTTTTCATACTTTTGGGTGTCTTGCACGGATTAAATTGATTTCCATTAATTCTTTATGGGAAAAATCATTCGCATACCGATTATTTCGCAGAACAATGACACCTCTTGCTCACGGATTAAAATCGGTATGCGGGGTACCCTGTATACAGTCACTGGACACTTTCCTAGAAATTGCTGCACCTTGTGAATTCTTTGAAACATGGTGTATAATGCACAGTGGTATTTTACACTCTTAACCACACAATGCAAGAGAGTGTCTTTTCGTTTTTGTGGGTTGTTTTTGGTATTGCACAGAACGCAATACCTCTTTCATAAGCATTTTTCCTTGTGTAAAGCAGGAGGGAGGCAGTTGTATGGGGTAGTGATCAGGCCTCAGACGAGAGGGTAGGTGTGATAAAATTCATGCACACTGGTCCATTGGGGCCACTTGAATATTATTTAGTCCCTGATGACTGATAAACAAAATTCACCATATATGGGTTGTTGTTGCTCCTTCACTTTACATAATATAAGCATGGAAATATCAAGATGGAAAAAGAGTTTTATGTACTACTTATAGCTCTTGCAAACACAATCAGCAAACCCAATCTGCATGTCACATTTATCCACTAAGTGCATATTAAGGTTGTAGTCCATCACAGCTGCAGGTTTTGGAATGGGTTCATTGGTCTCTCTATTCTGCCTGCCACTGTCTCCCATTTCGTGTTGGTGAAATGATGCTAACAATGTGACATCACGTCTGTCATGCCACAGAAATGCCATGTCATTGGCAGCCAACGCCTGTATCTCACCTCTACCAGTACCTGCATCAAACATAGGCATATGCTTACAATTTCCACACACTGTGCCCCCACATGTCCGTCATATTCACTCACAAGAAATCACTGAGTAAGGTCTTGGTAACCAGATTTTTTTTTTCCAACAAACCGTGTCCATATCCCACCAGGCAGGTGGCCCAAAAAAGAAAAACAAAAGTTTCTCTTTTTAAATTTAGTAATTTATACAGAAGAAGGGGTTACTAGACCCTTGCTCCCGGCATTTTAGTCGCCTCTTACAACACGCATGGCTTACGGAGGAAGAATTCTGTTCCACTTCCCCATGGAGATGAGAGGAAATAAACAAGAACAAGAACTAGAAAGAAAATAGAAGAAAACTCAGAGGGGTGTGTATATACACGCTTGTATATGTATGTGTAGTGTGACCTAAGTGTAAGTAGAAGTAGCAAGACGTACCTGAAATCTTGCATGTTTATGAGACAGAAAAAAGACACCAGCAATCCTACCATCATGTAAAACAATTACAGGTGTAAAACAATTACAGGTTGTGTACCAGTTATCAGCATATAATGTATGCCCCTTACCAAGATATGGTTCCATCACTGTTCTAACCACATCACCAGAGATACCCAATAACTTCCTAGTAGTATCTCTCAATGTATTACTGCCAGTGTACACAGTTATATCCAAAACCAGACCACTTTTGCAATCACACAGTACAAATAACTTTATACCAAAGCGTTTCCTCTTGCTTGGTATATACTGCTTGAACGACAGTCTGCCTTTGAACAAAATCAAAGACTCATCAATAACAAGCTTCCCGAAGGGATAAAAATACATACAGCACTTTTGTTTCAGATACATAAACACATTCCTGATCTTATATAACCTGTCGTTTCTGTCCGGCCTTGTTTTGTCTGAGAAATGCAGCATATATAACCATAGCAGAAATCAATTCACTGGTATATCACTAAAACCTGGGGTTGAAATCAGGCGGTCTGTCGACTAGTATGTGGTGACAGTGTGCTTATACACATGTGGCATAAGCACATTATTGTGGCAAAGAACAGGTACATCTCTGCCACAGTTGTGTCCTTCCACTGGTGTAGCCGTGACCTTGGTGAAAGAATTGTTTGCCATGGTGTACTCGTACTATGTGTTACTATCCCTGACAACAATTTCCATCGCGGGTTCATTAAAGAATAACTGAAAGCATTCCAGTTCAGTGGCATTGTTCCCAAGTGAACATGAAGGCCGTATTCCACTTTGTGTTTCATCAAAGTCATGGGGATTGGGAACAAAACTGGCACCTTGCCGCCAATCCTAGATGTGGTCTGCTGGTGGGTACTAGATATTGACAGGTGGTTGTGGAAGTTGTGGTTGTGCAGGTTGTGGGGGTGGTTGAAGCTGGTTGTGGCTGTGATGAGTTAGCAGTGTGGGTAGCATCATGGCCAGCTGCTGGTGCCACATGACTTATTCCACCGCCAACATCACCACCACCATCTGCTGCCCCATGCACATTATGCATCCCCATTGTAACAATATCATTGGCATCTTCACTATCAGTTCGTGGTGTAGGGCCATGAGATGTACTCAGAGATTTACTCCTTTTCCTTGAAATGGCATATGGCACACTGCCAGAATGCATGCTGCGTCGTACATACTGCCGCTGCACTGGAGAATATTCCCCCTCACTGTCACAACTCAAACTGTTTTCAATAGCTTGAAAATCACTATCACTGCTCACATCCGAGTCCTGTACATGGGGAAATAGTTTCCTCTTTCATCTTGGTACAGGTGAACGTGAAAGAGATGGCCCAGCACCAGAGGTGGAAGGTTGTGGGTCATCTGAGTTTTCATCACTAATTACGTTATTCTGGGCACTACTTTTGGTCACTCCCTCCTGAAAACCATGGAATTCACTTTCACTGTCACTTGCATCGGTGTCACAACTATCACTTGGGAACAGAAGACCACCAATTCGGTGAGGAGTAAGGTACTTCTTACTGCAAGGCATTGTGAACAAGTACTACTAAAATGGCATTCCCACAATGCACCACTGAGTCCCCGATTTTTTTTCATACTGCACACACCCATCACGCAGACCCATTCTCTCACATTTAGGCCTACTATCTTTCTCCCGCTTGATTTGAAGCCGCTAGAATTTATGCGTATTAATATGCCAAACACATTGGCTCGTAAGACATATATATACAGCCAAAATAATCAAAGGGTTAAACAATGTAAAATTTAGAAACCCAACATGACCCAAACTATTTTCACTTACTAGAATCTGGAGTGGATGGTGCAGTGACAGTAACCTGTGCACATTTGCCATACATGTCAACCACAGCATACAACATCTGTGGTAGATTAGCTGCTGCTACACCTTGACTTTCTCCATTAACAAAAAATTTCAGGTCACCCTAAAATTTAGAACTGCATTTAGTATACATGTATAACATAAAAGCCAATAAAAGCAAGTGTACATTTTTGTCTTTCCTAGGAACAAATTTATATTGTAGCTATTAAAACATCATTATAAGTAAAACAATTACATTGTACAATTTAATCATTTATGTACAGTATTTCATTTTAATGCAGAATACTTATTTTTAATTTTGCATAACTATTTCTCACAGCTTTAATCAGGTGTCAACTGAAGTACTGTTAACACCAAACAACTCCTCCTAACCTGTGATGTTCTCATGACTCCAACTCTGTCACCCTCAACCAGTTTGTCCAGGTCACAACCATAAGCTTCATGTAAGGAGCGACCATCCCTCAACACTCCTTGACCCAGCATAATCTAAAAACAAGTGATTTCATGAAAAATTAGTCACCTTACCTACATATAATATTGCCTACAGAGTAAAAATTTACAAATTCAAATGCAATTTTACTTCTACCAAATCATGAGTAGGCCAGATATATTATTTGATAAAAATGATGACCCTGGGTATAAAAAAAATAGACACCAGATAAAATATTAGAAATGTACACTTATTACAAACACTTCACAATAACTTTCAGCCACCTGAACAAAAGCATGGGTGACTGACAAACCATAATTTAGCCCTAAAAAATTGAGCTACAAATTTTTTTACCTTTCCTTTTCTTAACAAATTCTAACCAAAAATTAAACATGCTTTAATGACTTTCAAGTGTTCACATGTTGAAATTGCTAAAAGAAAAATTATAATTATTGTTTCATTAAGATTTCTTATACTCTTGGCTCTTGGTAAAAATTAAATAAAAATAAAACTTGAGTAGGTTGACACTCAAAATAGGAAAATAATTTTGACTGCATGAACCACTAAAAATATGCAAAATGAGAATTAGACTGAGCATACTCTTGACAGTTTATGAGAGTTAAATGTAATACCATTTTGTTACTAAACAGTAGGGAAATAATGCAGACAATATTCCAATTAGGCCAATTAAAACTGAATTTATTACGAGGCAATAACAGAGTAGAAACTGGAAAAAGTAAACCTGCTGAAAACCTAATTATTATGAGCTGAATACAGAATTTTCGTAACATGAATTTGGTCCTCTGCAGGTGGAAACAATTTATTACACTAAATATGGAAAAAGTCATTTATGTTGCTGATCGTAGTGAAAATAAGTACAGTAGGGAACCACTTTATGGTGTTTTGCCTTAAGGCATTCCACTAATATGGTGATTTCAAATTATGACCAAAATTTGCTATACGGTAAGCGGTCTTTCAAATAAAGCGCACCCAACCTGGTCTGTTTACATTCTCCCTGAGCACATATCTATTATGTCTGGAAATTTTCCAAAATTTCAAGTGTTTTAAAGTTATTGCATATTTTATATGTACTCTGATAATTATACTTATGTGTACCTTTCCCAAATATATTCACACTGTGCTTGCATGCAGGGACACA